AACCAAATACGCATCATGTCTGCTTATGGACAGAGGCCTGGGGTCAAAGAAGATGTGTTAATGCCAGGACCGCAGGGTCAGCTGTGAGTGTCTTTTTAAAAGATGTCTTTATTTATATGCTACGGTCTGCTTGTGCAATTGAAAATACAGAATGAAAATGAAAGGTGCTGCTGGGTGTCTATAACCGATCATGCAGGACGCTGGCGCTCAGCAGGTCTCCGGGACACGATGTGAATCAGGAGGCTTCTCTCCTGTACAGCAGCCCCTTCCCTGGGAGAGGGATAAGTCACAGCTAATCTGCACCCATCGGAGAGCTGGTGTGGGAGACCAGCTGCCTTCTGGCCCTCAGACCAAGGGCCTTTGACAGCGGGCCCAGCCACCAGCCATCAGCCAAGCCCCTTGCCGGGGTGTCTCTGACAAGCCCTCCTGGCAGTGTGGCAGCTCACACCCGCACCCACCGCTGCGTTCCCCGAGGGCCTCAGGCCAGGTCGTCTTCCCTGAGCAGATGGGACTTGGATCTTACAAATCAGAAGATACAAATTAAATTTTATGGAAGACGAGGAAGGGTGTAGGTTCCATAAGCATTCCTGGCCTCACGAAATTGGTTGTTACAGAAATCTTCACTAACAAAGCAACCTAAACCTTTTAAAAAAAGGTTTCCAAATTTTCTCAGGAGTCTCTCTATTGCATAGCTCGCTGAAACTCTACATTCAGTATCCTGCCAGCAAGCACTGATAAAGGAAAAGGGGATGATTTCACAGCAGGGCCAATGGAACACCCCACAGTTTGCTCCTGTCTACAAGCTAGGGGCTCGTCGATGACCGCCCTGGACCAAGATAACCCTCGTGTGCTCCCATATCTCCTTCAACCCCTTGAATTGCTGCTGTACAAAGACTCGCTGAGCTGTGGCCAAGAACGTCCTCCAGGTTCCCCACGAATTCCAGCCACTCCCAGTGTGACTGGTGCTGGAGGCTACATTGGCGACCCAAGGCTCATCTCTGGGGCTCTCACAGCACCAGACACCCATGCTTTGCACACCACACAGCTCAAACAACATTTNACTCAAAGAACATTTGCTGGAAAAGTAAAGACCTCGAATGTCAGAACCTTCTCACAAGGTAAAAAGAAAAAGGTGAAAAATGACAAAAACACACCAAGTGTCAGCAAGGAGATGCCTAAATGTGAATACCATTTCCTCCAGGATTCCCGTGGGGAAAGGTTTGAGTGAAGGCATTGCTAGGGGCAAAGAGCAACTGTTTGAGTGAAGTCGGTGTCAGGGGCACAGAACACCTGAGACACCAAGAGCTGCCCCCACCTGGTAGAAGGTCTTGATATTTGTGACCAGGATGCTTAAGTTCTCAGTCCGGAGGTTAATATCATTGTTCACCTGCTGGTTGATGGGTTGATATCCAGGTCTGGGATCGCTAGGGAAAGAAACATGGCAATGGAAATGGCGTCTCCCCACATTGGCCACACCTCCCTTCCAGTGGCATGTANCATTGGCCACACCTCCCTTCCAGTAGCATGTAGTCCTCTCCAAGTCTAGGCTAGTGTGAGGCTCTAAGGGGTGTGGCTCAGAAACACAGGCGTCCTTACCGAGGGGGAAACCTTAGTCACTCACAGATGCTCCCGACCAACCCGACGCATTTTGTAAGCAGACACTGTCCCTTATAGTTCCTTGATCCCCAANAACCAACCCCTGACACTTTCTGTAAGCAGACACTGTCCCTTATAGTTCCTTGATCCTCAAAAAGTGATTTTTTTTCGAATTTCATTGCTTAAACCACATTAAGTAGCTGAGTTTGAAGTTCATTGCACCATCTACAGTTCCAAATGTCCTTCATCAATCAAGCTGCCAACCCACTGTCCTGCAGTTCTTCCCACCCCAACGAAGGGCGGCAAACGCCCTTATACTGAGACCAGAGCAACTGCAGGTCTCCTTTTACAACCTGAAAACAAACTTGAAGACAACTTACATTTCTACCATGATCTGGTTAAGAAAGATGCCATCGACCAGACTCATGTAAACCCTCAGGTTGTCATCGTTGCTGCCTTCAAAGGGTCCCAAGGTTTTGACCTGCAAGGAGTGGGATGCAGAAAGGCAGGAAAAGTCACCCCACACACATTCTGAAGCTCTTCAGGACAACCGCGGGCTGAGGGGTCACCCAAGGCCCACCCATGCTTCAGTAGGCTCCAAGCCCACCTTTCTTCAGGGCCCCTCTCCCTGCCCTACTCCAGGCAACAGATTCGAGACAGCGGGAGGGAAACTTTCTCCCCACTTTTTCCCAGTGTCCCAGAACAGGAAAGAAATGAAAAATAAAAGGAACTTTTCAACAAATTACTCACATCTNGGACGCTGCAGGGGGCACACGCTCCCGAGTTGGAAACGCCTCCCGACCCCAGGCCCTGGTCTGGACCCCACACCTGCTAAGACCCCGGCGTGCTGGGACTTCCCCGGGGTCCCAAGGGGCAATAGTCGGGTCTGTAGGGACCACAGGCAGGCGGGAGAAGGGCCGGAGCACCAACGTAGTAGGGAGCCTGGCTACTCACCCACGCGATGAGGGGGCCGTGAAGAAAGAGCTCCAGGAGCTCCCTGCTCGCATCATCCATCCTCAGGCTTCGCCCACTGTGTTGGGCCCAAGGTCTCTGTACCAGAGTCTCTGCGCCCGACGTCTCTGCACCGACTGGCTCTGCACCGACTGGCTCTGAGCCCAACTGCTCTGTGCCCCACCTTCCACTGTTTCTATGGCCACTGTCCCCATGCCCGCATCCCATAAGCCTCTGCACCCACATTCCAACTGGCCCTGGCACTCAATGCTGCCCGGCCCGGGCCATGGGGGCTCACGCCCCATGCTAAGCACTGTGGGTACATAAAAAATGGGGCTCTCCCCCCATGCAATTTAAGATCTATCTGGGCACATAAAATACAAAGAAATAGAAAAATTACATATCTACATTATAGAATTATAAATGGAAAATAGCCACTTAAACCTAACCTTGTCTATCCCCATTTTCAAAAATTATTTTTTCTATCAGCCGAATTACAGAAAGGCGATCAGTTCCTTTAAGCAAGAGTATATTCATTTTATTTTGGTAAGTCTTGCCTATTATCTCAGCTTGGGCTTGCTGCTCCCCATCGACTGTGAAAGGGGACGCTCCAGTTAGTAGTTCATACATCAGGACACCTAAACTCCACCAGTCAACTGCCTGCAAAACAATTTTATAGAATATTAANGGCCTGCAAAACAGTTTTTTGGAATGTAAACTAACACGCAATTTATAGGAAAGAAAATGGAACAAAATAAAGCTGCATATTTGGAAGATATTTTAACAAAAAGATTTTGTACATAGCTTTCTCTCCAAGGAGTATTAAATTAGCATATGCAAGAAAAACATTTAGGGAACAAATATACAGGTATCCTCAGAACAGCATTTAAACACTTAGTCTGTCAGTCAATGAGCTAAAAGTGTTGTAATTATTTTCTAAACTAGTAATGGTTCTCCTTCGGTTAATTAAAAATGAATTTTTAAAACCACTTTTGATTTCAGACAGAGGAAAGGAGAGGGGGAGAGAGAGATAGAAACATCGATGATGAGAGAGAGTCATTGAGCCTGCACAGCCCCTGCAGGGGATCCAGCCTGCAATCCTGGCATGTGCCCTGATGGGGAATCGAATCTCGATCTCCTGGATCAACCACTGAGCCATGCTGGCCAGATAAAAAAATATTTTCATTTAAAATAAATTAAAAATTTTTTAAGTAAGTGAAATCTTGGGGGGAAAAGTACCGATTAACATTTTTATTAATTACCCAGCTCCAATAAATTTTATAAAATTACTTAGGGTCAAAGGACAAAAATGAAAAAGAAAAAAAAATCCCATCTAAAGGTGTTACTTTTTTCATAACCACCTAAATCAGTTCCTCTTATAGAACCTATCTCATAAATCGAATGGCCTTCATTTACAGGAAGCATGCTGAGATTTAAAATAATGGAAAACAAAATGGGAACTAACTGGGAAACAAATTTATAAATGTAGTTACCAGAACTGAGAACTGAGCAAATTATATATAATTGAAGGAATCCTGATCTACTGAAAAATAGTTCTTTTATAATTACGCAAAACAAGATTTCAATAATGGTTGAGTATATGAGATATTAACTGGACGCTAAAACTTTATTTTATTTATTTATTTCTCAACATGTCTTTGTTGATTTCAGAGAGAGAAAAGGAGAGGGAGAGAGAGAGAGAAACAGCGATAACCAGAGTCCCCGATCGGCTGCCTCCTGCACGGCCCCTGCTGGGGATCGAGCCTGCAACCCGGGCATGTGCCCTGACCAGGAATCGAACCTGCAGCTCCTGGGTCACAGGTCGATGCTCCACTGCTGAGCCACGCCAGCCTGCCGGGCTCCATGCTAACATCTTCAACTCTCTGCTTCCAAATGTCAGGGCCAAGGCTTCAGAGAAATGATGCAAAACCCATGAGCCTAGACCTATTTTACAGAGAAAACATATCAATGACATAGAAAACAGGCTCAGGCCGACTGAAACCACAGGAAGTGAGTGCAAGGCAGGCGCGGGGACCGGCGCGCTGCACACTGTGTGTCTCACGGGAGCAGCTCAGAGCCATCGCGGTGCTCCATGGGCTCCCCGTAACTTAGCTGTATTCTGGCCCTCAGTGTGCACAAATTCTAGGACCAATATAAGGTTTTCTTTCCTAAAAACGGGTGCCATGCCTTGGCCTGTGTGGCTCAGTTGGCTGGAACATCATTGCCTACACCCAAAGGTTGTGGGTTCAATTCCCAGTCAGAGCACCTATCTAGGGTTGGGTTCAATCCCCAGGTTGGGGTAAGTCCGGGAGGCAACCCAAGGATGTTTCTCTCTCACATCAATGATTCCTTCTCTCCCTTTCCCTCTCTCTTCCCCTCTTTCTAAACTCAATAAGCATATCCTCAGGCTAGGATTAGGAAAAAATTGGTTCCATTAGGTCTTAGAAGGTAATTTTCCAATTTGAATAGTTATCAGTTCTTACCAAATTTCCCAAGAGTTTCAAAGAATATCTTGAAGCGAACTAAACCAGCAATTCAATTATTTTCTTTATACGAGCACTTTGCTCGTATAAAGAAAAGAATTACTGGTTTAGTTCGCTTTTCCTGCCATGTGAGTGAGACCCTCAGAATGTTCTGCTGCTGGATTGGAAACCAATTGACAGCTCTACAATCTGATTCTTAGTCATGAAAAGTCGAAGGACAGGCTTTAAACATGATAAGCCATCAGCAAACATTCTCTACACTTAAAATATCTGTGCTGTGCATGAGGGGTTTGTAAAGGGGATGAGGGAGAGGGGAAGCAAAAAATTGTCAGAATCCCTTATTTGGAGAAAGTTATTAATAAAGCAAAAGTGTTAGGAAAGAACTGGACAGGCCTGTACCCTTTAATACAGGAAATAAGAGTATGTGACCTAGCCCAGCCGGTGTGGCTCAGTGTGGAGCTGCGACCTATGATCCAAGAGATCTCAGTTGGGTTCCCGGTCAGGGCACGTGCCCAGGTTGTGGGCTCAATCCCCAGGAGAGGGCAGTAGGGGGCATGCAGGAGACAGCTGATCAATGAGTTCTCTCTCCCTCTCTCTCTCTCCCCCTCTCCCTTCCTCTCAGTAAAGACATAGTTAAATACATATACATATGTATGTGCGTATATATATATATATATATATATGTGACTCAGGCCTCTTCAAGGCCTTCATTTTGTAAATACAAAGGGAAGTGGGGAGGAAAAACTGAGCTCTTTAGAGGGCGTAGGAAAACAAACTTAGACTATCTTGGACTATCTTTTTCTCCGAGGATTGTTACAATGCTTATGTCTGTTGAAGAGACAATCAAGAAAGCCTCCAGCATCTCAAAGTTAAAAGCAGAAATTGGAAGGAAGAAAATAAGAAAGATTCCCTTTTCCAGGATCTCTTAGAAAGTAAATATCAACCGTAGGTGAAACAGCCAACTATATGTCTCATGTATTTTTCTAACAAAAATCAGTAATGTCAATACACACTGACCAAAATCATCCTCATGATGCAGACGGCAACACAGGACACTTGATGCCCTCAGTGACACCTCTGTACTGTATTGTACTCTGGCTCGGCTGTGTCCTAAAAGAGCAGGGCCCATGCTACAGAAAATGAATTATTTTTGCTTTAAATAGAGTTGCAACTGGTGCTTTGCTTAAGATATAGACTCTTATATTGGAAATTACATAAAAATGATTGTTTGAAGAATTAGTTGCTTTTGAAGTTTCCTTTAACAAAGACTGTTACTCTATAAAACAAAAAAGTATCCTCACCAATAAAACCTGAATAAAGGGAAATCTAGAATGTCCTAACCTTTCTATTATCTTTTCCCTCCAAAACACTAGATATCACAGTGTGTTCATGTATACGAAGCAAAGGACAGAAACATAAAGACAAGACAACAAGAAAGGGGACTCTGCTGAAGGCTGTGCCTGAGTTGTTATACTTTGGTTATCACACCTAAGTTATTACACATTTTAGAGAGGTATATAAAGAAGTGTCAGAAACAGAACACACTCTGTCATGTCCCCAATCTCCCCTCTGACAGTATCTGGTGCCACATATTCAATAGTGCCACGAAACGAACATGCTCGTTCAGCCTGAAACACACAAAAAGGGATTTGATGTCAAGCTGGTATGGTAAGTGACAGAAAGGAAGTTCATGCTGCATGTCAGTGGTTGAGATGAACTGCTATGTGCAGCAAAGCAACGTAGTGGCAGAACCCACCTGAGAGACCCTCTCCTCACCAGGACGGACCATCAGGTCCAGTCTGAGTCCTGGGTAAGTGAAGCCCTCCCGGCCTGAAGCGCGCAGCCGCCACTCACCCGAGCGCCACCCGCCAGCTCACGAGTCCACCGCCCGCCCTTCTTCTCTGCCTGTGTGCGGAGTTCAACTCCTGCTTCCTGTAGCCATTCTTTTCTGTAAGAGCGCAAACAGTCCAAGAGGAGTAACAGGAACTGTCTAAGGCTTTACTACGGATGACTTTATTTCCAGCCAGGCAAGGCTGGAAAACACTAGAAAACTTGGAGGGGAAGGCAGGCCAAATGCTAAGGAGGGGGACAGGGAACCAAAGGAGGGGAAACCTGTCCTCCCTCTCCACCTTGTCTGGGTTTGGCACTGCTAATAGACTGTCTAGTGATGGCGAGCAACCTGTTTTGAAAACAAGACTTTCTCATAAAGACAGCTGTTTCTCCTTCATAGAGTTTTAAAAAGGGATAATTTTTATATCTGCCAAAAACTAATTTCAAAAACTGAAGGAGCCCTGGCCAGTGTGGCCCAGCAGTTGGAGCATCAGCCTGTGGGCTGAAAGGCCTCGGGTTTGATTTCCGGTTGGGGTACGTACCTGGGTAGCAGGCTTGACCCCTGGCCCAGGGCAGAGCGCATGTTGGGGGGCAACTAATCTATGTGGATGTGTGTCCCTCTCTCTCTGCCTTCTTCCTCTCACTCAAATCAATANGAAGGCCAAATGCTAAGGAGGGGGACAGGGAACCAAAGGAGGGGAAAACCTGTCCTCCCTCACCACCTTGTCTGGGTTTGGCACTGCTAATAGACTGTCTAGTGATGGCGAGCAAACTGTTTTGAAAACAAGATTTTCTCTTAAAGACAGCTGTTTCTCCTTCATAGAGCTTTAAAAAGGGCTTATTTTTATATCTGCCAAAAATTAATTTAAAATTCTGAAGGAGCCCTGGCCAGTGTGTTGCTCAGTGGTTAAGGCATTGGCCGGTGGACCCAGGGGTTGAGTGCGATTCCTGGTACCTGGGTTGCACACTCATTCTCTGGCCCGGTGGAATGACAGCTTATTGAATGAAGGTGGGTTGACGGATCCTTCATTAGAGGTGTAGCCCTGACACATACATGCCTACCAGAGTTCTAGCTGTGTTTCCTGAGTGGGCTGGCGTGCCAGGCGGTGGTGGAGCCCCCTTCTGGGAGATGCAGTGACCAAGGATAGACTGTAGGGGGCACTGGAGACCTACATAGCCTGTGGCGGAACTGTAGGCCCCAGCTCCTCCCAGACCGTGTTGATGGAGCTCAAACCTCTGCAGGGCACCGGTGTTTTCCTAACTTCTTTCACCAGTTCTTACTCTGTCTTACAGCTCTTCCAAAACAAACAAGTCCTAATTTTCATTCTTTGAGTTGGGAAAACAGAACATACATGAGCAGAGTTAAAT